AAAAACTGCTACAATATCGTTAGAATAAGAATGTAAATTTTGGCAGTTTATTATGATTACAAATAGCTTAATTGGTATATTGAGCGGTCACAAAATCGTAATACCATGGTTCGAGGCCAGACGGACCGACCGACTTTTTTAATTTTTTTTTCAAGTTCCTTTCTTTTTTTGAGAAAAACTATTTTTTCGTGCCCTTTTTTTTAGTAATTTTTAAAAACACGAAAATTTTAATTAAACTAATTGCACTCATGATTTTTTTATTCAAATAACCAGTTCAGTTTTTTCTATTATGTCGCTACATCAAAAAATATTATTCGTATTTCATCAGTATGTAATTTGTATCTAAATATAATTTCCAAAACACAAGAATTAAAAAAAACCGAGCGAAAAATACCGAGCAAAGCTCGGTCAACCGGGTACTTAATTAGTAACAGCGATAAAAACAATAATGACTTATTTTAAATTAGTTTTCACCATTCTAAATTTTTATAACTATTGAAATTATTAGTAAATTAAAACTACTTCATCCCAAGTATTTTATCACTAGACTTAGTCTGGATTGACTATAATTGTAAAAAGGTAGTGGTGAAATTATATTTATGTACAATGAGAAAGTTTCTTAACGTCGTTTCCAGAAAGAAATTACTATTAGATATGTCTTTTCACCGACGATTACGAGCAATGCATGCCTTAATTTTACGTAACATATAGAAAAGGCACCTACAATCGCGTGACACATGTTATCCGAATTTCACATATTTGATACGACTCAGTCTGCTACAAGAATGATCCAAATCTTAAATTGTTGTAAAATTTATATTACACTCATCAAAAATTGTTAGTTTGTTAATATTTAAACGTTATTATAAATATTAACACTACCGTGTATTTATATACTGGATATGGTGCTATTTGTAAGAAATAATAGTAACTTATTTGTTAAATTAAAAAGCAAGAGATACCCTTTCCAAATAAACTTCATGTATAACAAAACTAAACTTTTAAACAGCAGTGTATTTTGTATGATTCCGAGAGTGTATAATCATTTACCCAACTCTCTGCTTGAAATTTCAAATAATAATTTATTTAAAAAAAAAAGTGAAGACACTACTTTTAGAAAAATCATATTATTCGGTAAGGGAATTTCTTGAAGACAAATTAATAGATGTACTATTATAACCGGCTTAGTGGTACTGTGACATTAATTAGACATTTTATGTGACATTATTTTACAGAGTTGACATTGTGTATTAATTAGGTAATCTCATTTGACATTATTTTAATAATTATTTAGATACTGTAATTTGATATGTAATAATTTTAAATTAATCTATAGCATATAATTAAGAATTTTTGCATGGCATGAGCCTAAATATGGCGATCGACAATGTAAATTGACCACTGTAACAAACACCATCTGTACCCATATTACGCAAATAAAGAATTAAATAAATAAATAAATAAATTATTTTCAACAATGTTAACAATGTTATATTATTAAAAATCTGAGAAACGATGGACCGGTAGGCCAACCCTGGAACTTCCCGCGTTTTCGAGCCCGAAAATCTTCCAATCGGTAGATTTTTTAGCTCTTCGAGCTCAATAATCAAAAGTTATATAAGAAAACGATTATTTAAAAAATTTTAAATGACTATAACCATTGAATACTTATATGTATTATAGTATTCTATGACTATAACTTTTGAACGCCTCGTTCGATTTTGATTTACTTTACGTCATTCGACGTAGTTTTTAAGGGCAAAAATTTTTTTGTCAAATCTTGAGTCGATAGATCGAATAATTTAAAAGTTATGTCAAAAAAACGATTATTTAGAAATTTTCAAGCAGCTATAATTTTGAATGCGTCATTCGATTTTGACTTCCTTGACGGCATTAGAAGCAGTTTTTCAAGTACAAAAAATTTTTTTTAATGTCTGGAGTTGATTACTCAAATATTTTGCAATCTATATATATTTTGAATATCTTTAAAACGGCTCGACTTCAAAATCTAACAAATAATCAATTCGAAGCCTCAATGAACGCTTTCGAATATCGTATCGCTCATCACGATCAGTTGATTCGTTCTAAAGATATCTAACGACAAATTTTTATTTACGTACATTCGAAAGTGGAACAGCTTCCTACGGCTCAAACTGGTTGTCGCATTCTAAAAATCGAACCGAAATATATAACTTTTGAAAATTATTAATTTTCAAAGCTGTAACTTTAAAAATTATTGTAAAAAAACCATACCTGTTTTGTCATCACTTGTTTCGAATAGCTTTCAATATATAGCAGTAACCGTTTACCCCAGATATAAAATAGACCGGCGACGAGGAGTAGCGTCAAACATAGGAGACGTCTGGTATCATTGCCAATTCGCCTTTTAAAGAGAGGCCCTTGTTCATCCAGTAGTAGACTTTACTGGCTAATGAAGCAGAAGAAAAATATGCCATGATCGTTTATAGAAATAAATAAAATTAAAATGTGCTGATTATCATTTCGAATTTTTAATTAGTTTTCCTGTCCGTTTTCAATAAGACGACTCTAAACTGTATCCGTACTGCCGACTGTAACCGTAATTTTGTAGAGGAAAAAGACTTTGTCTTAGCTTGGTTGCTGTGAATATTAAAAAAATATTTTTATGACAATTTCCTACATATATATAAACACTCACGCCTGTCGCGCAGAGGGGTAGGTAAGCACTAGGCAGATACTACAGACTTCCATTTGGCACGATCCTGACACAACATATACTAAATCATACATGCTCGTCAGTTAAGGGTACTCCTAATTTGGCTCTATATACTTTCACTTAGGGCGTCCCTTTTCGACTCTACCGTTCACTTCTGCAACATAAATTTGCTTTGTCACTCTTTCCTAATTCATTCTTTCCACCTATTTCCAATTTAACCGTGTGGTGCCAGTGTAAGAACATTGACTACCCCATATCATCTCGCGGGTATCGTAAGGTCGGCCACTTACATAAGGAATCCCGTTTCAGAATTCCGTTTCGAAATTCCGATTCGGGATTACGAACGCAGCAAATCAAATCAAGGTACACACACGCAGGTACATTAGTTTTCTATTCGAAATATTGCGTGCACAACGGGATTCCGAATGTGTGTGGGCGTCCCGTTTGGAATTCCGAAACGGAATCCCGCAACGGAATTCGGTCTGTATGTGGACAACCTAAGAGGTGACAGAGAGAAATTTATACGGTAAATCGGCAGCTACATCTTTCTGACAGCTAAAAATAATATAAAAACTGCGGTCGCCAACTACAACTACAAAGCGTGGCAACTTGGGTGAAATCCTCCTGAAGCAATCTATGGGGGAAGCTAGAAGTAAATCGCCAGAGGCTATGGGGGATTAAAATGGACTTTTATAGGCTGTAATGGATGGACGGATATTAAGATAACCTTTACGATATTACTAGAATATCCTTTACGATACAGAATAAAACATATCCTTAAGTACAAGAACGAGATCATAAACGAGTTTTAATAATATCTTATAAATATTAAAAATACTGAAAAAAGTTTAATATGATTTTATTTAAATAATCTCCGTTGTTTCATAAAAATATGAAATAATTTTAATCATTAAAGCAAGCTTTACTCAAATAAAACGTACTGTATTTAGATATTATCGTTTTGCAGCTAAATATATTTGTAGACGGTCATAGCCCGCATTTCCGTAACCCAATAAATAACAAACGTCGCGCTTGCTTCTCCAGACTGCATTCGTGCCTAACAAATTTTCCGCTTTCGCCTTTTTTATTTATTTATTTTAGCGACCCAAATAATTACTGCCTATAAAACTGCTTTGAATTTCGAATAGTTTACTATACGAATAATTTATTACTACTATTTGTATATTATATTAATATATATATTTTTTGTAAGATTTAAAGTTGGGTGTTTTGTATAAATTAAAAATATATTTTAAACTTAAATTTAATTACTTATATATTAACACATCTAAAAGAATGCTTATTAAAATTACAAGTATCATACAATCTTTTCGCATTCTTTAAATATTTCCTTTCTATTATAGATGTGCATTTTAATTTCATTATGTACACTTGAAATTTATAATTTTGTGGAGTAAAATTAACATGACTAATACGTTTTATTATTAATTCAAAATTTGAAGTAGTGATTTTTTAATTTATTTAAACCCTTATAAAAACATACCTTAAACAAGTATTCACGTAGATGATGTTTAATATAACGAATTTTTAAACGACAGTAGCCGAATACTCGGGTGCGGACAGCAAATCAGCAAGTCGTGGATTCGTATCTGCCATTCGCCTACTATCGTGTACCGCTCGTATACCTACAAGCATTTTAAGTACCTTGCCTAATTTAGAGATCGTAAGAGCCATCCTCAATCACGCACTTAAAAATTAAATAAATAAAATATTATATTTACTTCTTAAGGGTTTCTCCGCAAGAACCACTAAAATGTTTCTTAATTTTATTTACTTTATTTATTAATCAACTCTACAGAAAATAATTTTCATTAGGAACGTGTTTTTTTCCTATTATACCTATAATAACCAATAATGACAATAAAGCTCAAGAAAGCTCTCGAACAACTGAAACTACTGAAATCTTGATAAGGCCGAATGTGGCGCTTGACCTCCGCAATGTAGCTACGCAAGAGTTCATTACACCCCGTAGAGCAACGCTATATCAGAAACAGAAATTTAATTACCATCAAATAATTAGACTAAGCAGACCTGAGAGTTTCGAGCATCAATTATCTTTGTTTTACACAGACATACTATAATTTGCTTACTGTCTAGTAAAAGTAAAGAAATTAAAGTTCTCTTAAAATTTTTGTGAACACAATTTTATATAAAAAAAAAAACAATACGAGTATAATATAGCGCAACTCTTGACCTTTCCCAAAACAAAAGATCCCATTGCTCGTTGAAATCGGGCACAGCTCAGCTTCCCTCTTATAAATCAAAAAAAAAAATTACACCTTACCTATTTTTTCCATGACCGATTTTGTAGAGCTCTACATGCTTAAATTGGGCGTATGTGGCCATCGTTTCTTTTCTGAACTAGAAGACGTTTTTACACAGAGAGATCACTGCGCGAACCCGACGCTTTGTTGGGACAGAACAACGTGCGAGCACTGCGGAGGTTGTCAGCTGACTGGGCGCGCGGGGCCAGTACCCTTGCTTAAGTCGATGCAGCCACCCTCCGCCCGCGCGTGAAAACTGAACCGCGCATGCCCACCGTTTCCGTGTCTGTGCTTCTTTTTTTTTTTTAAAAACACCTGGTGGCCAGTGCCGTTCTTATGGGACACATGTTCACGCCAGATGACTCGTGACGACAGACAGGAACAGGTCCTTAAAAAAAATTTGGGATGAGTGATGTTAAACTGAACGCTTCCGTAATAATATAATAAGGGTATTGACGACACTTTTAAGTTTTCCTTGTTAGATAAATATGAAATAACTTTAAAATGAATCCCTAACTGATATAAGGAAGATAAAAAATTAAACGTGTTTTATAACTGCAGGAAAAAGAAGTTACGCGTAGCAGTATAATACTTTTGTTGTGAATATAGGTTTAAAGATGTCGTATAAACTGTTTTTTTATCGTAATAATCCTTCAGTCTTACTAAAATTTTATGACTTCTAGAGAATACAGTATTTCACTTGGATCTACCACCTCATCAACGTTTTCTTTATTTGTACTTATTTTATTTGTTCTTTACATGTTCTTGAAATATATTGGTTTATTTCTTAGTCATGCATTTCCTCGCGATATATTATATCACCGCTACTGTACACGTGGTAAATCTTTCTGCTTAAATATTACTTCTGACAAGGATTCGTACCCGGGACCTATCATTAAGCTTTCTAGTACTCTAGCTACTAAATTACGTGGTCGTAGTCGTCGAAAAAATTAATTCTGTGAACTTTAAGCAATTAATCATCATTTAAAATTTACATGGTTATAAAAAATGCACTGTCCGAGCTTTTTTTTTTCGACCAAGTAATTGCTTTTTTATTTTATAATATCTACTCGGTAGCAAAGCAATCAATCTTGAAGCAATTTAATATGCAATTTAAATTGATAATATGATATAATAAGATACTAGAAATATATTAAAACAGTGAATAGATGTAAGCTTTTATTTTAAAATATCTATGAAATGTTCCGCAAGCCTTTGTAAACAATTAATTATCTGATTATAAAACCTGGATAAATTCATGACAATGTTGTAGAGAAGGAAGTTTATCGGTTTAGAATTATAAACATTCGTTCGATAAAAAAGAGGGGTAAACAGAATCTCTGTCGTGATTTCTTCTAAGAATTCAGATATATATTCTAGGTTTGGATGCATATAGTCCAATATTACTGCCTAATGTATTATTGTAAAAATCACTTGTATTTAAATTTCATTGTTCTTGGATGAGTTCCCGCCATCGGTCGATCGCCAGAGTTTACATACGGGCATAGCTCTACTCGCTAATTTACTCATTTCTCATTTACTCATACTTTTATACGCAGTAGAATGGTCTCGAGGAAGTTTGAATCGTTAGCGACGGAGATTTACTATTTTGATACCATTCTAAGACCTTTGTAATACCGTGTATACGTCTACTATATATCAATTATACGTTCTATGGTTGCCTCGTTGGTCTAGTGGTTGTAGTGCGACTGCTAATCATGACGTCCTGGGTTCGGATCCCGGGTCGGGATAAAAAATCAAATCAATTATTGAGTTTTTCAGTCAAGAAATTCTTAGTAACTGCCCGGAGACAGGAAGTTGGAGGTATCTCACACCGTGCTTCGGATAGTACATAAAGCCGTTGTTCCTGCGCCTGATTTCTCTCCGGTCGTGTTGATTTACCGTCCCATCGCATTATGAGAGTAATGGAATAGTGAGTGCACCTGTGCTTGCGTTACACTTGGGCACTATAACCCAGTCCTGCGCCGATGGCTAGTCTCCGTTGAGACTGGCCGCCGTGACCAAAATCCGGTCTGGAGGACATTATACGTCATATGGCTGAGCACAAACCTCCTTTCATTTATGGGAGTGATATTTAACGATAGTTTACGACTGCACCAGTGAGTTTAAGCCGGACTTCACATATCCTTGAAATGTTTTATTATGTATTTCTTCACCGCCACCCTTATTCTATAAAAAATATACATTACTTGGTACATATATATTTATTTATTTTTAATTATCTTTATATATATATATTTACTGTATGTGTGTTTGTGACAGAACTCCTCCAAAACGGCTGGATCGATTATGATAAGATTTTTTGTGTATATTTAAGTGGACAATTGGACCCGTTATCACGGAATTAATAATAGTACTACGTACCGTTAGGTGGTACTGTTTTCAATATCCAGAAATCACCTGCGCATACAATTCGTATACAATTTTTTAATAACACAGGTCAAATTTAAAGCACCATTATCTCCACACAATCAATTTATTTCTAGCACTGTCGACTTTTATCAAAAAGAATTAAAAAGTTAAAAAGAGTCTTCCTAGCGTTTAAGAGAAATAGACTTAAAAATACATGTCATTGGAAATCAGCTGAAGTGATATTTCGTTAAAAGCTTGTGAAAGTTTTTAAAAGTGACTTAAGTAAGAACATCACTATGGAAACGTTCTTCGTATATTTGCACTTATATCACTGTCTGTCAACTTAAGTAGTGAACCGTAAATAACGGCTAACACCGATTTGTGTAAGTGACCTTTTTTGCCTACATAAATAGTGTTTCTTCATAATATTAGAGGATCAATAAGTCTAACTGGCGGTAATTACCTATTGGACATTATAAAAACCTGCAACAATTTCTACAAAGAAGGTCAACCCTCAAGAGAGATGGAGATCACTACAGCCCGTTATTAATATTTTAATTGATTAAATTCGACTTATTCATGACTTTCCTTCACAAAAGAGTATTTGATACTTAGCAGTATACGTTACTATACGTTAAACTGGCGGAATAGTACGCTTATAGACTCTAAATTTAAAAAAATTGGTTTATAAAGTATTAAGCAGCCGTTAGATTTTTTATAAAACATCGGTCGAACATCGGTCAACAAGGTCGGATACCGTGGTAAAATGAAATTAATAGAAATTATATAATTACTACTCATAGGTTATGATGAAAAAGCCGACTCACTCAATTGCGATATTTGTCACAATATAAAGGATATCCGACATATGCTAGCAGAATGTACCAATATCAGAGGGAAAAGGAGAATCTGATAAAAATAATAATAGTAATTTGGGTGAAATAGGTTAGTTTTTAAATATACTTGCGGAGCTATACTCAAGAGGTGGCAAAATCATTAATTTCTATATTCTTATCACATTGATCCCAACTTTCTAAATACTATTGATCATAAGTATAACAGGAACACGTCATGGTGCGATAAAATTGACATATCCTATTAGATTCTACTAAGAATGACAAGTTGCGACTGACAAGAAAAACTAAAAGGCCTTTTATTACAATGTCGTATCTTTTATGAAAAGTTTTAAAAAACCTTTATCGGATGTCATGAATATATTGTTACACATTTTAAAAGATTATCATTTTCGAAATCATATTATAGTAAATCTAAGTATAAGTTATAAATATTCTGTATTTATTGCAGTGAATTAAAAAGGACTACGCTCAAAGTTTCTCTGCGTGGTAGGTATCCGTAACTATGATATAGGAATCAGAGTCATCGATATGCCTAATGAATCAATACGCCAAAGTAGAAATGAACTAGCCATAAGTAACAACAACAACCGTTGGGGAAAAATGGTTCTCGAGTGGCATCCTCGTACGGTAAGGAAAGTTCAGAACGAATGCAGATGGAGCAGCAACCTGTAAGACATACAGGAAGTTGATGGACGCGAGTGGTCCAGGACCATGTTTCAAGGCAGTTCTATAACTTATCTTTAGCAGTAATGATAATGATGGTGATGATGATCATAATAATGATAAAACTGTTAAAAATATTGACATAGCGGTCAGCCGCCGTAGAGTCTATATTACCTGAGGATGCCTCGTGTAGAGGCGAAACACGTGTCCTATTATCGTCGATGGTGTGTCTTGCCTGGAATAGTGGTGTTGAGAGTAGTGGTGCTTGGTCTAGTGGTGACGGAGTTAGTGTATGCAATTGAGGGAGGGCGGGAGGTGCGCTTCAATCCAGGTAAGACACATCATTTTATATGTTTAGCGGAAAGTTGCAAAGAAATTTATATTTTTATTTTTTATTATAAAAATATTGAATTAAAAGTATTATAAATTTTAAATATAATACGACAATGGAATATATTTTTAAGATTTTATAAAATGAATAAATTTGATAGTAATGATTTCTTATATTTACGCGAACACTACACATTGAAATAATACTAGTTTTTACGGAATTTATCGCGTATATTTAACTTTTTAAACACCCGACGTTTCGAGAGCTTTACAGCACCCATGGTCACGGGAAGGACTGAGATGTTCAACGTCCAGCTGTCATAGTTAACCGCGGTTACCATAGATTAAAATTTAACTTTTGTTCCGATCTACACAGTATGAACTTATGGTATCATGGAGTCTTGCAGTTGTATGCTTGGGTTGGGATTTAATTTTATTTATTATAGGATCCCAAGCAGATGGTAGCACCCAGCCATCTTCTCTATTGAAATTAGGATGTTTTTTGATTTCAATAGCCTCGCGAATCATCCTTGGAAGGAATCGGTGTACTTTAGCGAGGATTTGTGGTCTATCAAATCTGATGTAGTGACGGGGGCGATCCTGTACATGTTCATCGACGCTCCGGGAAGTCTGCAGTCTGTGAACATGTACAGGATCGCCCCCGTCACTACATCAGATTTGATAGACCACAAATCCTCGCTAAAGTACACCGATTCCTTCCAAGGATGATTCGCGAGGCTATTGAAATCAAAAAACATCCTAATTTCAATAGAGAAGATGGCTGGGTGCTACCATCTGCTTGGGATCCTATAATAAATAAAATTAAATCCCAACCCAAGCATACAACTGCAAGACTCCA